AAATTTCTTTACAAACAATACTATTGTTTGCAAAGAAATTTATATAGTAAAAGAAAGGTTTTTTAAAGATATCTCAGCATCCACCAAGCTATTTTGATATTCTAACCACTATTAGATAGTTTTAATAAGCTTTACAAAAGTCTTTTAAGTCAGAAAAATAATTAATTTAATATAAGAAAAAGTTTTAGATAGAAGCACTATATATTCACACTTATAGTAAAATTTATATATAAAAAAAAAATTTTTAAACTAGTTGGCTAGAAAATTAGCTATTAAACTTTCTAATTATAACTTCTATCTGTTTCTAATCTAACCAAGGTATAACTTAATATTTATTCATAAATTTTGCAGCATTTATAAATTTTATATTTATCTTAGAACTTATTAACTCTTATTGAATAATTTATTTTTGAGATACATTATAGCACATTTGTAAAATATTCCAAAATCTAAGTTGTTAGACTACAAGTGATGAGTCATTTTAATTGACTCCAAATATACGTAATTTATTTATGCTAATTTAATTGACTCCAGATAATATTTTTATTTTTATAATTTAATTATGATATAATAATTAAATAAATACAAGTATTTTTTGGTTATTAAAAAATTTTATTGTTATTTACTTTTCAAAATTAATATTTGAAATAAAAGAAATTGGCAAAAAAAATTCAAATTATCCCGTAGATCCATGATTAAATAGAAGTCACCCAAAGAAGTTATTTGAAAAAAATATTTATAATCTTTTTGCTACGATATACTCTTTGAAAATGTATTTTGAGATCATGGTGACTTTTAAATTTTTTATTGTCATATAAAGAACATAAAACGCTATTAGTGTTACTATTAATCATTTTTTTAGTAATTTTTCAAAATGAGTTGCAATGGTAAGAAAATAGGTTAGACACATGGTTATTATAAATTTGAAGGGCCAAAAATTTTATCTGGAGTTTAATTTTAATTAATTAATAATAAATTTGGTGACCAAATTTTTAGATTTGGTGACCAAAAATTAGCTAAATTTTGTAAACACACTGTAATGAACCTAACAAAGTAGTCTCTATTCTAATTATATTTTTATTTGCATATTTGGTAATTTTTTTCTAACTAGTACCTATTATACTACTATTACTAGATTTATATCTTATGCTATTTTTTAGTATACTACTATAATATAATTTGTATCTCAAACTATAACCTTTTTAGTTAGTTTTCTATTACATACTCCTTGCTCTTGTAAGGTTTATAACAATTCTGGTATTCATATTTAAACTTTCTTTTTTTTTAGATTCTTTACTTGTCTCTCTATTACTACTAGCTAACAATTTGAAAAGGTTAGTCTGCACAAGCTTTAAGTACTTTATAGTTACTTTTTTCTTGGTATATGCTTTTAGAGTATATGTTTTTTTTCTCTAGTAATAATCTGGTAATTCAGCTAGTAAATTTTTTACTTAAAAATCTGATTATTCAGTTTTTTAATATCAGTTTTTGGTTCTAAATTTAGTCTTTCTATAGTATTATCAAAGATTACTGCCACTTTTTAACTTAAAACTTGTTAAATAAATTTTTAATAATTTTGGTTTACTAGATTTATTGTACCAAAACTTTTATTCAAAATAGTATAATCAAGATTAAAATTTCTAGTTCCAACTTATTATTATAGCCATTAACTATATTACAGGCCTAATTTTTAAAATTATTATTTATAAGATTTAAACTCTAGACTTGCTACTTGAGATACAAAAACTCTCTCTACTACTATACTAAGTTGCTATATACTTGTTAAACCTAATTTATAGGACCTTTTCTTGTTATACTTCAATAACAGAACAAAATTCTACTATTTCTTTACTCTTATACTTCTCTATTGCATATTCAGTATTTTTATCTACTTCTTTACTTATAGCTAGCCTGCTTTCACAAGTAAAAAATTACTAGCTAATTGATCTTATAATGACTTTTAGCACAATAATTGTTGCAAACTTCTTGGAATATCATTACTATTCTGGCTAATTATATTCAGTTACTTGCTTGTCTGCTATTATATATTAAATTTTATTTTGCTGCTTTAATAAAACTATCTCTAGTTTAAATAATACTAGTATAGCACAATACAAATAGCATAAAGCAATACTTTTAAGCAAGAGTACTCTTATAGTTTGCAAATTCGGACTTTCAATAAAAATTAAGATAATTTAATATTGTAGTCATTTTTTATTTATTTATAATAATTCTATATATAAAATTTTGTTCTAAAAACTTTTAATTAATGCTCATAACAGGTTATTATAATAAAATTTTATATTATTTACAGGTTTTTGCTTTTTTTTCTTAATTTTATTATACAAAGATTCTTGTTATTTTATTGGTTCTAATCTATATAGATAGGGCCAGATTTGCAGAATATAAGGGTACTCTTTCAACAACAGAAACTGATTAAAAAGATTTATAGTAATTTTTAACTCAGAATTTTTTTTTCATAAGGAAATCTAACAAGATGCTACTAATTTACTTATATTTACAAGTAATACAAACTAAAAAAAAAAGTTAATTTTGTAAATAAACTAAAAATAGAAGTTTGGGATTAAAACATTAGAGTTGTAAGCTTTAATGATAAGTTAGAGTTTTTTATATATAAAATTTTATCCTGTTATTTTTTATTTGTTAATCAAAATTAATTTAAACTCTAGTTTTGAGTATTTTTATTTTCTTTCTTTTTTCTTTTGTACATGTTTGAAACAGGGCTAGTGATTTTTTGTATTTTATATAATACTACAGAATTTATATAATTATGGTTAAATTATATAATTATAGCTTTATTATAACAAAACCCTATATAATTTAATAATTTTAAATTTATCTGTAGTGCTATTATTATATTTCTCATAAGGGATAGCTGCGCAGCACGTGACGCAGCGCAGAACCAGTATAATCTCATGCGTGTGTTTCGTTTTTGAGTAATTTGTATAATGTTATTGTTAAATTACTGTTTATTTAACTTGATTATTTTCACATATTTGCTAAGTTTGTGTTTCTGGAAATTATTTTTTGCTTTGAGTACGATATAATTAAAGAATATTTTTATTATAATTATTTTGGTTATTATTATTTTATTATTATTATTGCTAGTTTATTCATTTTTATATATCCAATATTTTGATACATTTTATTGTAATGTAAATTCATTTGAACTTTTCTGTAGTTATTTATTATGAACAGGAGGAACCGTTAATATTACACGACTGATCCTTCATCCGGTGTGCAAAATATAGAAATTTATTTTTCTATACTAGACTATTCCACTAGTTCATGTGATGATTGTAATTCTACACCATTTTACATATTATAATAAAAACTGTGTGAATTATAATCATCACATGAACTAATGGAATGATCTGGTATAGAAAAATAATTTCTCCATATTATGCACACTGGATGAAGGATCAGTCGTGTAATATTGATGGTTCTTGTTATTGTCACTATTTAAATTTTACAGTTTTAAATCCGTGACTTAGATGTTTCCTGGTAGTACTAAATGTATGGATGACCTGAGCCACAAGAATATTGTGATACTCCTAGATGGTGAATGGAGGCTTAATGATGTAGGTCAATTCTAGTGGGTGTTTGTTTACCTAACATATGATAAGCATTAGACAGAATAATCGTATGATGCGAGATAAACCCATTATTGTTTGCCATGGAAGGATTTTTTAAGACAGTACTGTTCGCGGCCCACATACAATGCTGCTTTGTAGCGTTGAAAGTACAAGAAGCTGTGAGAGAAGATAGCGCAGTAGTTTTTAGTAAATTGAAAGGTATTTAAGGCCTAAGTTTTTGCCTTGGCAAAGTTTTATTAGACTATACATCTTCAGACCGTGCGTCTCATACAATTTCTTAAGAGACTACGATGTCTTAGTTATAGAGTTTATAATAAGAATCAGATTCTCACATACGTTGTATTTATGTATTGTTTTATTAGTTTAGTTATATTTTTTTATCATATTCTTATTTTATTGTTATTTTGCATTTTCTATTTTATTGTTACATAATAAATTACTCTTGGATAATTAAAGTTGATCTATTAAGAGATAACCTGACTTAGCTTAAGTGTTTCGTGACATCATACCATGCGTACAAAATTATAAATCTTGACTTAAGTGAATCATCAGAGCTAAATTGGATTAATATCCGTAATTGCTCTTCCAACTAATGGTTACATTATTATTACGTGATTTTTTTTTTTTCTTGAGTTTACGTGAATATTTATAATTTAATTTTTATTGAATCGGGTATTGTTTTATTTCATTTTTTTCTATTTATTTATTTATTCACTTATTTTTGAAGTATGAGAGTATGTTATGAGTAGGTTTGTTGGTTTTTGGATTTTTTAAAGATTCAGAGTCCGGATTTGGGTAAAGACTGGATGCAATGTGTGAATAACATTCTTGGTTTCAAGTTTTGATCAAGTTTTCTTTATTAGATATTGATTTGTTTCATTATTTTATATTTATGAGTTTTTATCTTGCTTTTGATTTGGTTTTTGAAATTAGTTTATTTCGATTATATAATCCTATTACTGATTTCTGTTAGTTCAAGTTATGGCTTTAATCTTTGACTAGGATGAAGTCATTGTCGATAGAGATCATTACTTATTTGGAAGCTAATTGTAATTCGGCAGTCATTTTTTTGTATCAAACCTTACTTTGATGCGAATTATAGTCATTATGATAAAAAATGTTATCATCATTATTTTATTATATAAATAGTAAAACGGTTCATCAATGATGGTTAGTATACTCTTTTTACATTTTTGTTTTGCATTATGCCCTGTTACGTAGATACTATTGTGAAAATTAGTCAGGTTCGTCAATCTGATAAAGAAGAATCGAAGTTAACTGTTGTGTGGGCGATTGGTGCCTATCCCGTTAAAAGTGAAGATCGAGAAATGGAGATGGTTTCATTTATTCCGATAATTGATTATGAGAGAGATCCTAATTCTCAGTCTGTTTTCGTGAAGAACGAGTATTACAGCATAGGTGGGAAGGTTATACCTGGAAGTTACAATAGCAATATGTGATTAAAAGTAAATTTTTGTTGTTTTTTTTTTTTTTGTATTATATTGCAAATAACGATTAAACATTTGGTTTTTTTTTTTATCTAGATAACTGTCTCTTTTTCCACACATCTTGCTATCAGAAGAGATCCTGGTTCGAATAGGTGTCCATTGAAGGTTTCGTTAGTTGGTATTATTCTGGATGCAGCACAGGAAGTTAATGAAGAAAATGCATTAATTAGGGTGTTAGTTAAAGATTACGTTGGGCAGAATAATTCTTTTGTGGTTAAAGTTGTGTTTCCATTTCACAATAATCGGTTCAAGTATTTGATGAATTCCATTCGTCCAAGTGAATCAGTTCTTTTTGTTATTGGACAGATGGAAATTATTCAAGATAATTTATTTGTATATGCTGTTAAGACTTCTTATGTTAATACTTGTTTTACGGATAAGAAAAAAGGTACTAATTCAAGTGACTCACAATCTTCATCGGGGTTATATAAATCGGTTTGTTCTAGACTCTTGGCTGTTTATCAGAACTCAAACGAGAATTCATCTAAGAAGTTTACTGCAGAAAGTCATAGTATACTCAGAGATATGAATCCGCCTATAACCAAGTCTTCTGCATCTAACTCTTATTCATCTAAATGTGTTAGGGTTGAGGATGAAGATCCTAATCATATTGATTCTGATTACATTGAGGATGAATGCAAAGAAGATGTTGTTAATGAAAGTAAAAAATCAGGAAGCATTTGTGAAAAAGTGATTAAAGGGGAAACAAATTCTTTTGTTGTTTATAATACAAGAAAACGTACTGAAATGCTCAAAGGTGTAAATAATAACTTGGATGGAAGAGAGTTTAAGAAGGCGAAATGAGATATTCGAAAGTGTAAATATCGATAATTCGCGGAGCTTTCTTTTGAGCTTGTATTATTTTTTTTTTATTATACATACGAATATTTGTATATAGTTTTGTTGTTTAATAAAGTTATTTTTTGCTCGTGATATTTAGTTAATTAAAATTAAGTGATTTTAAATATCTAGTTAATATTCGCATTTTACTTAAATTTACTAATGATATTTTAGTATACTTGACTACAACGTATATTGCTTGTGTTTTTGACAGTTGGTTATGTTATACGGCTAATTTTAACAAAGATTTATTATTGTTTTTCATGTTCTAATTTATGCAACAAGCTTAAATTTATTGTTCGTTTTTTTTTTTTTTGGTATTTATAATAGTTTACTATTTGAAAAGCAAATTTATTTCGTGTACAAATTAATCGAGTAATGTAATAACAGAGTAGTTTTATTTGTTGTACATTGTTTTAATTTACGTTATATAAGTAATTTTTCAGTTATCCTTGAGCACTCTTCAAAACATTCAAGTTCTTTTTTGAGGTCAGGGTCGATCATAACACAAAGTTTAGTTTGGTCAAAGTGACGAAGTATCATAATATCCTCTAGTTTCTGTACTCGAGACAACATTACATAGATCTCAGCTCCAATTCTCCCACCATCCAAATCAACAATTACTTTTTCCAGTGTAGTACCTTGACGCTTGAATTCTGTGAGGGCGAATGCTGGAGTGATAGGCAATTGAGTTCTCTGGAATTCTCGTGTTATGTTTAATCTGTTTTTTATTCTATGCGTGAATTTACATTTTGTTTGACAGGGTAAACTGGTACATTATTTATCGGAAGGCCATCATATGTGCTTGGTCTGTGATTCAAGAGTTCTATTATCACGTATTTAGGAGGTTTATTAAACGTTATAAATTTTTCTCCGTCAATGTTGATATTTTCTTCTATTGACGATTCATTATTATATACAATTTTATGAATTATTCCTTGCGCACCATTTATCATCCTATCATTAGTACATATATTCATTGTTAGGGCTATTTTCATTTCTATTAATAGCGGTAATATCCCACAGAACAGGTTTGATTTCGTATCTGATACACTTAAAAATCTCTGTCGTATACTACCATTGACCGGTTTGTTCTTGTATGTATCTTTGGCACATATATAGTAAACTGGTTGGTTACAATTTTTGGCATGTTCAATTGTTGCTTCAAAATTTATCTGAATTCATAGATCATTTCTTCGAACCAGAAATGTTGCATTTTTCTATTTTGATGAGTTCATTTCATCTCCTGTTGCAATACGATTATAAAGAGTTTCACATTGAATTGGTGTTAGATAACCATAACGTAAATTATTTAATATAGTAGCATAAGTCGGGTCATTAATTTGACGCATTTGCTTTTTTAGTATGATTACATGTTTTACTGCCTTCCACAATTCTCTTCCGTTAGTATTAATTAATACTCGAATACCACTGGTGTTTGTATCTTGTATTTGATTTTTTTGTGAATTTATTGTTTTGTTAATATTACTAGTTCGGTACAAGGGTTGATCTAGCACGGGCGGGAGTTGTAAAAAGTCCCCAACAAAAATTATATTCAAGCCTGCAAAAGGCATAGCATCATTTTGAAAATTCTTGGCTTCTTTGATACACGCATGTAATCGTGTCATAAGTCCCTGTCCCATCATAGAAACTTCATCTATGATAATATATTCTATATCCTTTCATCATTCCTGAAGAATTTCTTTTGATGTTTTTTGAGAGAATTTATATTTACAAGTGTTATTATCATCGTCAAATCCAAATCCACACAAAGAGTGAAGAGTACAACCACCAATATTCGATGCGGCAACACCAGTTGGTGCACAAAGGACAAGGGTTTTTTTTTGACCAGTATGTTCGAAGTATTCAGTTATAGTATTAATAACTCTCGATTTGCCTGTACCCCCAGCACCACCCAGATACATTAATAACTGAGGTGGTTTGTTAGGATTGCTCGGGTAGTTTTGTTTGCGATGATTACAAACAAGTATGAATGCTTTTCTCTGCTCATTATTAAGTTTAGTTGAAATTTTCTAAAGTATTGATTGCGAGGTAACTGGCTTCTTTTGGTTAGTTATATGAGCAGAAGGTTTCTGGATATAGATTTCTTTGGGATTCATATTATTATTCATTTGTTCTATTTTTTTTCTAGATAATATAATATTTTGCCACGCTTTAACTAGATAATTATCATTTTCACAAGAACATCGTACTTCATCTTCATTATCACATTCTATAGTATCAGGTTCTTCTTGAAAGCTTGATTGTCCTTTTTTCTTATCATTAAATTTATCATTTAGATATAAATAAAGCATAGCATCATTAACGAATTTCACATTACACAACCCAGAACGCATAATTTCATATGGGCTTGATGAAGTTAAGTTACCAAAATTAAGATCATCTTGGTCATCTTGTATTACTGCGTCACCAGTATTATCATAACCTATTACCGATCTTTCTATCCGTTGAACTTTTGCAATTTCCGGGTTCTCGTAGGCTATTCGACGTAACTGGCGATCCAAAACTGTTTCTTCTGCACATCGATGCAAAAGTTTAATATTATTAATTATAAACTTTACTCGTGTCGATAAACTCGGGCTCTGCAAAAAAGAATTACATGCTTCACGCCATGAACTATACTCAACTATCAGATCATCTGCAGTAACCCATGGTTTGAATAACAAGAGAATATAGAGTCCATAATGTTCCTTATTTTTCAAATCATCTTTACGTGGCACACCTTTTCCACACAATACAGATATTCTTTCATTTTCACGGGACCAATGAATTTGTATATGCGTTGCATGTTGCGGATGTATTGTACTATGATCACAAGTTTCATTACACTTTTTTTCTCCACCTAAAAATAGAAATCTATCCACTCTTGTCGCATGCCCTTCATGAGTTTTTTGTCTATTAAGTTTGTCTATTTCTTTGTCATTAATTTTTATTTTATGAATTGTTGATACGTAGTCATACAAACACATATTTTTCAACTGTTTACCCCGATACATATAGTCAATTCGTAAATTAACTACATTTATTTGTTTACCCGAATTTACTATTATAAACATCTTATCACTAGTAAGATCATGCTCATCATTCTCACAATCATCATCTTGACTCGAATCATTTTCGCTATTGTTACTATTTGTATCTTCTGAAATAATTGTTTCAAATAATTCTTTAATCGGGTACTGCGATGTTAGGTATCTCACAAAAGAATTAAGGTATATTGAAATAAACTTATTAGGGGTATAATGATCTTTAAAACCCAGGAGATACATTGATACCTGAGGTGTAGTCATTTCCGTCTGTCCTACAATCTTATTCAGACACATCGTAACAAGTTTTCGTGATCTCGATACATATTCTTCGGATAATTTATCTGACTCTGATGCTTTAGTAATGAACTTATTTAAAGCAATAGCACACATTAAAAATGAATTATATGTATTCATATCGGATTTCGTTATATAATCCGTAATATAGTAAATGTATGCAAGTGCTAGCTTGACAGTTGCTACAAACCTGATATCATTGTTCCCGTGACAGCTGGCGGTTATATAGGGGTTATGGTTATTTATATAAGCATTGTAACGTTGAAGGTTAATGATCCCAAGTTCAGGATAAATTTTACCAGGTGCTTCAACCAGTTCACGAGGGAAGTCAAAACAGCAATTCAATACTTTGCCATAATAATATTTTTTACATGATTTTGTACATCTATGAAACAGTATACGTTTTGCAATTCTAAGAACATCATGGTGGAATTCTTCATTAAAGTCAGGAGATTGTGGGTCCGGAATAGGTAAAATTGATGGATGCATTCTCTTTTCTAAAATAGTTTTTGGGCTTTATATTCAGCGTCCAACATTTCGTCAGTTATGTAATCATCATTTGAAAAAAGATATCTAATATCTTCTTTGATAATTTCATTTAAATAAACCATTAAGCGTCTTCCAAAATCTTCATACTTTAGACGATCTCGCAGCTCAATAGGGTTGAGAGCACCTCGAAGCCAGATTAACATATGGCAATAAGGTGTACCGCGATCTTGATATTCTATCACTCCATAATAGTTTTTTATTTCACCTAATACGCCACCTTCCAGTTTTCGATAACCAAGAATAAACTTGATTATATTATTTATCATGACATTAAAATACTTCGCTACTGCAGTTGGATCAAGATGGGCTAATTTAGCTCTTTCTGTTGCAGTTGGAAAATTCTCAGGAAGTAACGTATTAATGTCAATCTCTTTTCCCGCATACATCATTACGATTGAGCTGTGAAGATCTGTGGGATTAATGGTTACAAATAACGAAGGTGAACCGTCCCGTATTATGACAGCACGAATTTCGTTATGAAGGAAATTCCGCGATTGATGCGAGCCCATAATTTTTCCTCCAACAATATTTATATTCTTTAGTAAGTCCAACACCGTTTTATTCATAATCGGCTGTTTATTTCATTCTTGTTCAATCACGATTTCTATATCATTTAGTGTAAGCTTCGAAATTAATTTAGCTGAATGTTCAAAGCTTACTCACTTCGTCATCTAGTATGCCCCCAATGCAATCTCTCTTCTCCGTAATATATCAAATGCAACAAAAATAAAAAAATGATGACATCTAAATTTAGAATCGCGAAGGCGTAACAAATGTTCAATATATTGCCTAAACGGTATGCACTGCTTGCAAAAATTATCTTCATGACCACTGACTCCATAAAGAAACAACGTAGAAAACGAAGCAGGCAGAAGTGTCAGATCTGTATATTTATTTTTGAGTATATTCGAATGTGGCATTAAGATTGTATCAGGGCATTCTTGTTTATTATTAGCAGACTCCTGAATCATCTTTTCCAATAACTTCAAAGAACGTTCTCGTTCAGTGATGAGAGTATTATTAACATATGTCATACCCGAATTTCTCAATTCAGTTAGACTATCAACACGA